GAGCATAGGAGTTGGAGGTTGCTGTGAGCTGTGATGTCACAGCACTCTACCCAAGGGGATAGCTTGAGGCTCTGTCTCAAAAAAAAAAAAAAAAAGTGTCCTGAATTTCAGCTACTTGGGAGGCTGAGGCAGGAGAATCTCTTGAGCTCAGGAGTTTGAGTTTGCTCAGAGCTATGACACCTCAGCACTCTAGTTCAGGTGACATAGTGAGACCTTATCTCAAAAAAAAAAAAAAATCAAAATGAATCTCATCAAATCTCTAGATCTCACGTCAATTTAAAGGAAATATAAGGGGCCAGGCACAATGGCTCACATCTGTGATCTTAGCACTCTGGGAGGTCGCAGCAGGCAGATAGCTCATGAGTTTGAGACCAGCCTGAGCAAGAAGGAGACCCATCTCTACTCAAAACAGAAAAACTAGCTGGATGTTGTGGTTGATGTCTGTAGTCCCAACTATGGGGAGGGTGAGACAAGAGGATCACTTGAGCCCAAGAGTTTGAGGTTTCTGTGAGCTATGATGATGCCATTGTACTCTAGCCTGGGCCACCAAGTGAGACTTTGTCTCAAAAAAAAAAAAAAAAAAAGAAAAAAGAAATATAAGGAACTGAAGAACAGGTTTAAAAATACTATAAAGCTGGGCATGGTGGCTCATGCCGCCTGTAATCCTAGCACTGTGGGAGGCCGAAGCAGGTGGATTGCCTGAGCCCACAGGTTAATCACCAGCCTGAGCAAGAGTGAGAACTCACCTCTAAAAATAGCAGGGTGGGCTGGGCAACTGTAGCTCAGTTGTTAGGGCTCCAGCCACATACACTGGGGCTGGTGAGTGTGAACCCGGCCCAGGCCTGCTAAACAGCAATGACAATTACAACAAAAAAATAGCCAGTGGGTGGTACCTGTGGCTTAAGGAGTAGGGCACTGGCCTCATATGCCAGAAGTGGTGGGTTCAAACCCAGCCCCGGCCAAAAAGAAAATAGCCAGGAATAGGGTGCCTATAGTTCCAGCTACTTGGGAGGCTGAGGCAAGAGAAGCACTTGAGCCCAAGAGTTTGAGGTTGCTGTAAGCTGTGATGCCACCGCACTCTACCAAGGGTGACATAGTGAGACTCTGTCTCAACCACAAAAAGAACTAAGAAATGAAATGCAGGCTTGGTGCCTATAGCTCAAGTGGTTAAGGAGCCAGCCACATACACCAGAGCTGGCAGGTTCAAATCCACCCTGGGCCTGCCAAACAACAGTGACGATGACAACAAAAAAATAGCCGGGCGTTCTGGTGGGCACCTGTAGTCCCAGCTACTTGGGAGGTTGAGGCAAGAGAATTGCTTAAGCCAGGAGTTGGAGGTTGCTGTGAGCTGTGATGCCACAGCGCTCTACCCAGGGCAACAGCTTGAGGCTCTGTCTGTCTGTCTCTCTCTCTATATGTATGTATGTGTATGTGTGTATATATATATATATATATATACATATGAAATGCAATGCATTTTTTAGCCTTTGCTGATCCTGACTTGAACATGTCAATGGAAAAATATATATTTTTAGGAAAACTGGAGAAATTTAAATACTACCGAACTTGTGGGAATATTAAGAAAAAAATTCATTTTGTAGGTGTAATAATGACATTGGGGCTTGCTGGAGAGTAAGGAAGCTGCAGATAAAATAAGATTGGATATTGATAATTGTTAAAGCAGGAGGATGTGTATGTGTATGTGTATGTGGGGGTTATTATAGTCTTCCTTCTCCTCCTGTATGTTTAAAGTTTTTCCATAGATTGTAGCTGCTCTTGCCACAAAAACAAACAAACAAAATGAGTAACTATATGAGATGAGGTATATGTTAATTTGCTTCACTATAGTAATATCATGTATTTCTTATATATACACAACAAAATTAATTTTTTTTTTGAGACAGAGTCTCACTTTGTCATCCTCAGTAGAGTGGTGTGGTGTCATAGCTCACAGCAACCTTAAACTCTTGGGCTCAAGTGATCTTCTTGCCTCTGAGTCTGCTGAGTAGCTGGGACTACAGGTGCTTGCCACAACACCTGGCTATTTTTAGAGTCAGGGTCTTGCTCAAGCTGCTCTTGAACTTCTGAGCTTAGGTGAGCCACCTGCCTCAGCCTCCCAGGTGCTGAAATTATAGGTGTGAGCCACTGTACCCGGTCGGCAGGAGGATCTCTTGAGCCTAGGAGTTTGAGACTAGCCTAGCCAACATAGCAAGACCCTGTCTCAATTAAAAAAGGGAAAAAAAAAA